AAAGAAACTTTTTCTTAGGTTTTCTCATACCTAAGAAAGATGGTAAGAAAGTGCTTTCTCCTCTAGTCAGGTGAAATGTCACAGTAATGGATGCAATCTGTCCCACCATCCTCACAGATGCATTTGGTGGGAACACAGAAGTGGCCCTTCTCAGTGGCTAATCCCCAGCATTAACAGCTAGACTAGCACCTTCCTTACTACCTTTCCACAAGCAAGTAAAAAACATTCTATTCAGGCAGCCCTTTGACAATTTTTTTAAGGGAAACAGGTATTGTATAATGATCTGGACATTTATTTGTTGTTGTTTTGTTTTAACTGGTTTTAATTTATGATTATGCTTTGGTCTTCTGTTAATTTTTAACTACTTGTTTTAACGGTTGTAAGTCACCTTGTCCCAAACTGGGGGAAAGGTAGGCTATAAATATATAAATAGAAGGGGAAATATTTTCAAATCAGAAATGCTTCTCTGCTAGACTAAGCTTATATTAGGGAAATCAGAGGTGGAGGAGGAATCTTAAAGTCATCTTAATGTCAGTGTCTACTGTTTCCTCCTCTTCCTGTCAATTTGGGAAGAGAAAAGACATTTCTGTCCAGCAGTCTCAGCCCTGATAGCACAGTGGTTAAATGCCAGTACTGAAGCCAGTATTGCAGCCACAACATTGTGAGTTTGATCCCAGGGATCCAGGGTTGATTTAGCCTTGCATCCTTCCTTAGGTCACTAAAATGAGTACCCAGCCTGTTGGGGCAATTAGCTTACATGTTGTAAACTGTTTAGAGACTGCTTAGTTCAGTATGAAGCGATATAGAATGTAAATGCTATTGCTATTGCTTCTAAACCAGAAAGAGTTGCTCAAAGGGGCAAATTGCATTGGCATCAAATTTGGTGGTAGCTGCTGACTTTCAGCTGAGAAAGAGGTGGTGCAGCCCTAAGAAGGACAGCCCACTTGGACACCCAGTGGTAGTGCAGCTCCAGTCCAATGCAACCCCCATTTTTCTGATCTCAGGAGATGCCATTCCTTGGTTTTATATAAAGCAAGGTTTTGTTGGGAGCAAGGACATAATTCTGCATGGTGCATTTCTTGAAAGGAGTTTTTGCTTAACATGCCTGTTTCCATCATGCTCAATATTTAACAAAATGAACAGGATTTTCAAAAGGCAGTAAAATTCAAAAGACTATTTAAAAGACATCAAAAGAAGGTTACCTTTGGGTGACAGAGTTGAGCAGATGCTCCTTAAACATCCAGCTCCATTTTTTAATCATATTCATCAGTGAGAACTTAAAAGGCTTAATATCAACCCGAAACCAGCCATTAAAAGTGTTCTGATTTTCAAACTCACTGACTTCTTTATGTAGCGTTTCATAAATGCTGATCTTAAGGAATGAGATATGAGCACAGTTCTGAGTCTTTATTTAGAAGAATTACATAATCTAAATAGTTAGCTAAAAGAACATAATAAACAAAAATTGACCACAAATAAAAATGGCTAAGTACCTGTTGTTTAAAATGTTCTAACTGTGGGGAGCGTTTCTGAAGTTCATGGTCTGGATATAATTCCAGCTCTTCAGTATGAAGAAATCGTCCATAGAGAAGGAACTGCTTCATAAATTTGGCTTTATCATCCATCCATAAGTGGCTGTATTTCTTAAAGTAGCTTTGATATTCCTGAGCATTAACTATTACTAAGCGTACCCGGCTCATGATTTCCTGGTGCATTTCTTTCAGTGTATCCATCTGGTCTACATCATGCTAAATGTAAAAATAAAACCATAGAGATGGGCCAATGATTTAATCTGTACTTTGGAAAGACAGTCAGAGTTGGTTGGGAAGCAAGATTCTGTACCAACTGCAAGTGTGTAAACTAATTTCATGGTCACCGCCAAAAAGGTGTTGGAGGAGAAGAAGGAGTACAACAAAACAGAAAGAACTCTTAGCTATATTGAGTAAGCATAAAAAGCATAGGAGGCCACAGTATAGCTCTCAATCCAGATTCCTGTCTGAGGTCTTCCTTAGAGGAGAATCCCTTCTCTTCCTGGTGACTTCCAGGAGGGTTGATTCTCCTTTTTTTAGGCAAGCTTTTTTTTTTTAATTGAAAGCCAGAAGGATCTGGAGGGTTTTTAAATAGGGCTATGTTCTGCAAACACCCCCACTCCAATACAGTTTATACAGGCATACTGTCTTCTTCCAGTTCTGCTGAATGTGGCATGAATCCTGTCATTAGTTCCAAATAGTATGGACCTATTGAATCAATGGGATTTGCATCCATGTTAACTCACCATTCAACAGTGGATTCAATAGGTCTTCT